TACAAATACAAAGATATAGTCCATGACTTCAATAATCTCTCTACTGGAGTAAAATGGCAGTGTTCAGGTGAGGAGGAAGGAAAGGAAAAAATAAGTAGACAAATATTCACATAACACTACATGCCTATGTGGTATAGTTATGCCTATATATGAAATAGAAATAAATATAAATATAATAAAATATAAATAAAATGGTATGGGAATAGAGAAAAGAAAAATAGCTCAGAGCAGTCTGAACTATGTGAGGTATGAAAAATTTATCAGGTCCAGAGAACATGAGTATGGGACTTTCAGTTACAGCTGCCTACCTCTACTATGCCTGAGGACAGTAGTCTAAAGGCATTTGTTCCAGACTTGCAGCCTCACCTGTTATCTTCATGTTTCTGGAACTTGTGATAGAAAGAACAACGTATAACCAGTCAAAAGCTTATGTTATTTCAATGTAAATCTTTGGCAAGCAACTTAGGAACTGCCTCTTTTTTTCCTCTAAAAACCCACTAGTAACTGCTGCTAATTGGAGCACATATTCGGGGCAACTGGGGAGCACAACTGAATCTGTGCTCCCCAGGTTGCAGTCCTTAAACTTGGCCCAAATAAACTTATATTTAGTTTGCCTCAGATTTTTCTTTAGGTTGATAGAACTGGGAAACCTAGAAGAGAGGATATTTTAAAGTCAATCAATAGGTTTGCAGGTCCTTCTTCAAAAAAAAAAAAAAAAAAAAAGGGCAGAAAAAAGTAGCAGGTAAAAGTCAATCAAGTAGAAGAAAAAACAAATTTATTTGCTGTTGCCCCAAAGAACAGAACTTGGACTGATAGTTTTTTTTAGCTTCAATACAAAAGAATTGTTTTCTAACAGCTACAGCTGTCCAAAAAATAGATTAAACCAGCTGTCTGGAAAAATAGCAGGCCATCAATCACAGAAGTTCATACAGAAGCTATGTAATGGTAATCTTTCAGAAAGTTTCATGAGTGGTATAAAAACATGAAAGACAATGATTCCCAAGATCCTTTTCCTGTCTAAAATTTTACTTTATGCCTCTGAGTTTTTTCTATTTGTCTAAATCAGTCTTATTACCTTCATTCACACTTTTTAGATTGTTAAAATTCATAGTACAAAACCTACTAATGACAGTCAAATTTGGCTTCTCTGTAGAATTAAATGAGAGAATGAATGTGAAAGTACCTGATAGAGTGCTTGACAATTATTAGTTGAATTTGAATCAGTGAAAAAACAAGCAAGTGGGAAGAAAAGCTTTCACTCCTTTTGGGAAGGAAAATATCTAACCATCTTGCAGCTACCCAACCACCCACATCTTATTTCTTCTCCCAATCTTAATGGAGGGTTGAAAATGAACTTGGGTTTGTTTGCAGGAAGGACTGTTTGAAGTAAGTACCACCTGGGCTCTTTACCTGGTTACCACTCAGTTTCAGTTTTGGAACCTCTCTCTAGAATTCCCAAACCCTGGACAGAGTAAATCAATAGTTTTTATGGAGTTATAATGTCTTCCTTAAAGAATGATTCACAGGCTTGTACCAGGAAAGCTGTATAATTTCTGGAGGTTTGTGGAAAGTGGAAGTTAATCTATAGACTTCTATTGTGTTCATTAGTTAGCAATTTGAGCAAGAGGGAAAAAAGATGAAACTGTTATTGGTCAGTTTAATTTTTGGTACTGGCTTTAATTAAATAATCAGTTGGAAATTTAGTTAAAGCTAATATTTAAAATTGTATTTTTACTTGTTACATATGAGTTTCATGGTCCTTGTTTATGGTACCATCATTAAGATGGATTTATCAAGATTTGCTTTACAGAAGCATAGATAATAATGAGAGAATAACAGTTATATTATTTGAGCAACTGCTATGTAATTTACAGGTACTATTTACAGGTACTATCTCTTTAACAAGACACAGTCTAGCATTTCTATTATACAGATTAAGATACCAAGGTTCTAGAGCTTGTTAATGATGGAGTCACAGCTCAAATCTACATGATTTGTTCTTACAGCTCACAATCTCAACTGTGTTAAAGAAAACCAGAGACAGACAGTAGATAAAGTGGTAAAAACAGGTTTTACTCAGGAACTATTGCAATGGGGGAAAGGGACCTTAAGGAGAGAGTCTTTGTCGCCTATTACACAATACTGCCTTGGGTTTACTAAACAAGCTTCCTAATAGAATGCAGATGGCCAATCTTTGTCTCCTTCTGTGAGCTGCAGATCATTTTAGAATTCTCATGAATTATCTTTCCAACATGAACAAAGGGATGGACTATTACCAGGTAGTGTCATGTGTGGGGAAACTGATTTCTGTCTAACCTCAGGTAACTTCTTGCCTTGTACAGAGGCTTAACTTGTTTCAGCACTACTTGTTAAACAGTCTTTTCTTTTCCACCAATTTGTATTACTGCCTTTCAAGCTGCTTTTAACTGATATACATAACTTTGTATTTTCATTTTATAGAAATCTGTCTTTACTGTCCCCTAAACTTAACTAGATCCCTGATATGTTCACCCATTATAGTGAATTGTTCCATATTGATATGAAGTTTCACTGGACTGGGGACTATGTTCACTGTTGTATTCCCAGTACCTGGTGCAGTACCTGCCACAGAATTGGGTCTCAATAAATATTTTCTGAATGAATGAATGAGCCCAGTTTAATATGCATCTAGCTGTGAGTCTGTCCTGGGATCTAGATTCTACAAAATTCAACAGGTTTTATGTTTTACAGTGACTGGTAAAATGAGCTTTTCCTTTTCAGCAGCATGGGCTCTCTCAGTCTATTGTTATTCTCTGCATAACATTTTGAGTCTTCCTAGATTGGTCTCTTACCTGACGTTGGCATAAGTTCTACTTTCTTAAAAATTGGAGTAAATATATTCTGCTCTCGCTATGCTTGCATTTTAGTTCAAGTCTTTTTTCCTTTCCTTTGTTATCTTTTATATGTGATGTTTGTTACATGCATAAGAATATGTGTAATGCAAAATAAATTATGAAGCATAATTACATTAACACTCATGAAACCACCACCGACCTGACAATAACATCATCCGTCCATTGCCTCTACTTATTGCACCTCCCTACCCACTCCTCTGCCTCCACCTAAGAGTTAATCCCTGTCTTGAAGTTGGATTTCTCCTCTTCTTGCTTTAATTTCTTTTCTAATATAATTTATTACATGTATCAATATTCATAAATATATATTCTATAGATTTACTTGTTATTGAGCTTCATAAGAATACTTTCATACTTTGTGGTCTTCTGGAATTTTTCATTCAACATTCTGCTTCTAAGATTCATCCACACTGTTGTGTGTGGCTATGGTGCATTAATTTCATTAATGAACATAGTAACATTACATTGTAACATACTACAGTTTGTCTATTCTTCTTAATATTTGTTTAGATTGTTTCCAGGGTTTTGCTATTGCCAACAGGGTTGCTACAAACATTGTTGTATGTCTCTTGGTTCACACCTGCAAAGTTTCTCTAGGCCTTATACTAAGAGATAGACTTTCTAGGTAAAAGGGTATGCAAATGTTCAGCTTTAAAAGATAATATCACCTGGATGCAGTGGCTCATGCCTGTACCCCAGCTGTTGGAGAGGCTGAGGCAGGACAGCATTAAGCCCAGGAGTTTGAGGCAAGCCTGTGCAATATAGTGAGACTCCATTAAAAAAAAAAAAATTTAATAGAAATCAATTTAAATACTGAAAATATAATACTAAATTGTCTTCAAAGTTGTCTATTTAAAGTCATGCCAGTAAAGTATAAAAGTCCCCATTGATCTATATCCTTTCCAACAGTTGGCATGACCAGATTTATTAATTGTTCTCTTTATTAGATGTAAAATTGTGTCTTCTTTAGTTAAAATTTGTATTTGGTTTGAAATTGTTTCTTAAGCTTGTTGACCCTTTGCATTTACATTTCTGTGAAACATTTATCTTTTCCCCATTTTAAAATTGGGTTATTTGAGTTTTTCTTATTGAATTAAAGTTCTTTATATATTTGGATGCAAATTTGTTATTTACAAGTATTTGTTATTTACAAGTATTACCAATATTTTCTCCCAGTCTTTGGCTTGCCTTTTCACTTTCTTTATAGTATCTTTATAAACAGAAGTTTTAAATTGTAATGAAGTTGATTTTATCAATCTTTTCCATTGTAATTAGAAGTTTTAATCTTGCTTTTTAAAAATCCAGTTCTACCCTAAATTTTATAAAAATGCTGTCTTATACAAGACTTTCTTTTAAGGATTCAAAAGCTTTGTCTTTCACATTTAAGATGCACATGGAACTAATTTTTTGTGTTCATGGTATGAAATAGGGCTCCAATTTAATTTTTTCCATATGGATAAACAGTTATCCTAGAAGAGCATTTATTTAGACTGAAAATAGTCACTGTATATTGCTATTAGAGAAAAACATGCAATATAACAAAATATATGGTATTTAGAAAACATAAAATATAATACATAAAGTAATTAGTATGTATACAAAATTTAAAGAAAATATATTATAAGGACATACACCAAAATGACAACAGTGATTATCTTTGGATGGTGAGGTTGTCAGTGATTTCATTTATTTATTTTGTTCTTCTCTATATTTTCCAAATTCTCTATATAGAGTATACATTCATATATTTTTCTAAATACTGGGAAATAAGGTAGTACCTATAGGTGATAATGTAGTGTCAGTGTAAATTAGAAACTATTCATTTAAAGAGAAGCCATGAATTCAAATATTCTAGCTTAACTGCTTTTTAAAAGCTTCTTCCATTTCTGAGGGAAAAAAAAGTATTGGTGGATTATGCAGTAAGTCTCAGTAGAAGGTGTAAAAGAGTTAAGTTCTGAAACCTGTGTAATTACTCTATACATAGCTGTATAAAATTTTCCTCCCCTGAGTTGTTTGCTTTACAGGTATGTAAAGTTCTTTGGAAAATAGGATTTGGGGCACTTATGTGTATCATTGAAGAGTTAATCATTTATTTTTGCCCAACAGCAGATAATGAAAAGACTTATAAAGCGGTATGTTTTGAAAGCACAAGTAGACAAAGAAAATGATGAAGTTAATGAAGGTAAGCATCTCCAACTTGAGAAACATCCTTTTTAACTAACTTAATGAACCAGGAAAACTTCAAGTTGAGGCATACTTTAAAAATCCAATCCCAGATTACAATTTGGATGGCTCCAAGATGGGAGGAAGATCTTATGTTACATTTCTTGTCTTGTCTTGTCTTGTCTTTTTTTTTTTTTTTTTCGAGACAGTCTTGCTTTGTCGCCAGGCACCAGGCTGGAGTGCAGTGGCACAATCTCGGCTCACTGCAACCTCCACCTCCCGGGTTCAAGCAATTCTCCTGCCTCAGCCTCCCAAGTAGCTGGGACTACAGGCGCATGCCACCATGCCCAGCTAATTTTTGTATTTTGGTAGAGATGGGGTTTCACCAGGTTGGCCAGGATGGTCTCGATCTCTTGACCTCATGATCCGCCCGCCTCGGCCTCCCAAAGAGCTAGGATTACAGGCATGAGCCACCACGCCCGGCCCTTATGTTACATTTCTAAAACATCTTTTTTTTTTTTTTTTTTTTTTTTTTTTTTTCCGAGACGAGTTTCGCTCTTGTTGCCCAGGCTGGAGTGCAATGGTGCGATCTCGGCTCACCGCAACCGTCCTGGGTTCAGGCAATTCTCCTGCCTCAGCCTCCTGAGTAGCTGGGATTACAGGCACACGCCACCATGCCCAGCTAATTTTTAGTATTTTTAGTAGAGACAGGGTTTCATCATGTTGACCAGGATGGTCTCGATCTCTTGACCTCGTGATCCACCCGCCTCAGCCTCCCAAAGTGCTGGGATTACAGGCTTGAGCCACCGCGCCCAGCTAAAACATCTTTTAAAATAAACAGTTACTTAAAATATTGATCAGAGACAATTTATGTCTACTCAGAGTGCCCTGATTCTCAGAATGTAAAGACTGACATCTCTCTAGGAGTTTTTTAATGCTTCAGACATAAGGTAGTCAGTAGTATCGGTTACATTTTCAATGAGTTCACATTAGTGTTAACATTTTTCCAGTTAGGCAGATAAAACAGTGACTACAGAATTCATGTCTTCAGGGAGACCTCTATTTTGTTGTCCAGAAACACATTTTTAACCTGTTTTTCTTGTCTGGTGCTTCTGTTTTGAATTTTACTTTCCTCCCTGCCTCCTTACTTTAAGCAAGCTTATTTTTAAAGGCTTATTTGAGGCAGGGCATCTATCTGGATGAAACATTTTTTTACCAAAGTCTAGGGGATAGAGCTAAACATAGGCCCAGAGTTGGAAAGAAATCAATCAGGGAGTAATAAGTTGTCCTAAAAATGGAAACTGTACCTTCCAACACCAATGAGATGCCACTAGATCTATCTACATTGATAAGAAAGGGCTAAACTTAATAAAATTTTTAATGGGCTTAGAAGCCATTATGTACTTGATTAATACAAGGAACTCCTTGTAAATTTAAATCAATCAATACTATATGTATATAGAAAAGAAACCTATAAATTTATAATTCATAACTAGCAAAAATCTAATCATGGTAACCTAGAAACTATCTCAGGAGAAAGGACTGGAATTCAGCTGTAGTTTAGAAAGCGGAAGTCTCATCAGTTGTACCCTGACCTCCATGGGGGGCAGGGAGGGAGGAACAAAGGAGAAGAATTGTATGACCAAAACAGCATAAAAAATAAGAGGCATTTCCAAAGCCCTTGCACAAAAGAGGAAAATCAATGAGAATTTGGAGTTTTGAACAAAGTTCTTACTATAAACATGTAGCATATAACCTCCTCATTTAATTAATGAGGAAACTAAAGTCTGAAAAGGTTAAGTAACTTGTGTTTCCTGAATTGGTAAACTAAATAGTTAATTACAACACATAGGTCATAGTCTCCTCATGAGTTGGGAACAAGGAAGAAAGGATAGTAGAAGGTGAAGTGGGGCAGGGGGGTCCACTATGATACTGAATGGTCTGAGAATCTACTCCTTCCACTGAAGTCTGCCTCATGATTTCAAATGAGATCAGTTTATTCCTTTTATATTGCCATAAGCCTCAGGATCAAGACAATCATAGAAAAAAATGTATATATATATATTCCCATATGCCAAAGAAAGCACTTTTTTGCGACAAAGGATTCCTCAAATGTTTTCTGTGTATTCCTGAGAGAATTTTTTCAAATAAAAAGGTTCTGACTTTTATATAATAGAAGAATATTGAAATTTTACTTTAAAGCATATTAAAGATACCAGGAACTATTATCAAAGGTTGTGCTTTAAATGCCATTTTACTATAAAAGGCTAAGTCAATGGTTTGAAGAATTGTTTCTTAGATTCAAGATAAATTCTTGCTCCAGCATTTGCATTTGAAAGTCAGCGGTTTATCTACATTACAGTTACTTTCAAGAGAACCCAGCGTTTCTTTTATTTTCTTCCTTAACCAAATACCACCTCTCCTTAAAGAGAATCCAGCTTTTAATTGCAATATATATAAGCTCAAAATACTGCGATATGGGAGCAATTGATTTTTACAGCCCAAACTCTCCTATTCTCTTCAAGAGTATAAAGTCTACCATTGCCAGTGGTATCATATCTAAATTCCTCAATTGTACTGCTGCTTGTTACTTCCTTGTGCATTGATCCTTTGTGCTGGACAAACCAGTGTCTTCATGTCCATTGACATTGCCTTCCCTAATAAATGCTTCCTACTCTTTTTCCTTTCATTCCTTTACTTCAAATTTGCCTCAAAATTATTTGCCTGTCAGACAGATTGATTCATTTTTAATAAAGTTTAGTTTTTCTAGGATTCCCTTTGATACTAGCAATGGGAGATGTTTGATGCAGGTGTCAACCTTTATACTTGAAAGAAACAAAGGGACTCCCTTGTAGTCAGAAAGGAGATATCCTGGCTGTAGATCAGTTAACAGAGAATCACCTTATGTTAAAAGGTGGGTGAACAAAAGGACAACACTTTAAGCTGGTTGTTACTATTAAAAAATATAGCTGGGCTAATTTTATAGATTTTTTTCAAAGGTCAGTATACTTTTAAAGACAGATGTTTCTGAAATATTTTAAAGAAAAAACTTTGAAGTAGTTACCTTGGAAAACTTACGAAGCAAATACATTGATATTGTAAGAATTTCACTTTTTGTTCTTTTCTAAATCCAAAGAGCAACTTACCAATGACTTTTTAATATCAATGCTACAGGTGAATTAAAAGAAATCAAGCAAGATATCTCCAGCCTTCGTTATGAACTTCTGGAGGACAAGAGCCAAGCAACTGAGGAATTAGCCATTCTAATTCATAAACTTAGTGAGAAACTGAATCCCAGCATGCTAAGATGTGAATGATGCAGCAACCTGGAATTTGGCTTTGACTATAGCACAAATGTGGGCAATAATATTTCTAAGTATGAAATACTTGAAAAACTATGGTGTAAATTTTTAGTATTAACTACCTTTATTATGTGAATCTTTAAAAGTTAGCTCTTAGTGATTTTATTGTTTTATCACATGAAAATGCATTTTATTTGTCTGCCTTGACATTACAATGACATACCATTGTGTTGAAAAGCCCAGTATTACTATATTATTGAAATTTTTATTCATTTTAGAGTAAATGCCACATCTTTGCACTACCTGTTTGCTGCCAAGAGACTATCAGTTCCTTGGGAACGAGGACTCTGTCTTATTAATCTTTGTGTCTCCAGCATCTAGTACAGTGCCTGGTACATAGTAGGTGCTCAATAAATGTTGAAACAAACTGAATTGAACTGCCAACAAAATAAAAATAAAAAGTTCTCACTATGTAGCACACCTTCCCTTGTCCAAGTTCTGAAGAAATATTTTTTTTAAAATAGAAACTGAAGAAATTTTACAACCAGCTATGACTTGGTGAGACATTCTTAGAATTTTAGGTGTTACTGATAATCCTAGAACAATTGAGCCCCGAGTGAAGAATTTAACAGCAAAATGGGTTCATGGAAAATATAATTACATTATATATTTAAGTTTCATAGAATTATTTAAAACAACACATTAAAGATTTTTCTAAAATATAGACTGCTTTCTATCTTAGACTTAGGTTTGTTGTTTTTCAGTAATGTGATTTTCTTTTAAGTTGGGGGTTACGCAGGGGTTTGTCATTTTGTTATAACTGTCTAATTTCTGCCTCTGCTGCTTTAATGCTAAATGAGATATAAACAGCTGACTTCATATCTCACCTGTGAGCTCCCTTCTGAGTTTTGGAGGGTCTGCTCATGGGAAGAAATAGGAAAGAGCAATGACTCTAGGCATACCTGGAAAGACATGGCCAGGCATCCCCAGGTGTGTTTCAGTTCTTTTTGAGGCATTTCTTGCCATCATTGCTTACAGTGGTTGACATCTTTTTTCTTATCAAAGGATTTCAGTTCTACTTTCTATATAAAATAGATTGTGATATATCTATATATGCCTTATTACATAATTGAGCTGAGTGCTGGTAATATCTGAAATGCCTCTTGACTTTAATGGGAAAAGGCATAAAGGCCATTAAGTTCCCCAGTCACTTCACAGACTACAAAACACTCAAAGCATTTTTTTTTAACTAGCTAGGTTTAAATCTCTCATAGAGTTATGTTTAGCATACTGAGTCTCTTCAGTCAGTTGCTGTCAAGTCTTATAGGAATATGAATTATGATCATAGCTCAAAGAGTTTCAGAGATCCTTAAAACCAACTAAATACATGCTACTTTAAAATCATTGCCATCACACAGAAAATCTTTCTAGACATGAAGACAGAAATAAGTGCTAAATGGAACTACATAAAGCTCTTTAAAGATTATTTCTTAATTTCTACTTTTGGGGAGTTAAATTTAAGAAAGGAACTTTATAAATTTTTTGCTACCATTGTAGAACATTTAATTAACTTTTGTGCCATGCTAATAGTATGTCTTATTTTTCAAACTTTATGTATTCTATGTTGTGTCTCAGAACTGAATAAATATTGAATTTTTCCATTGTTATATGTTACCGTATGTTGTATTAAGATAGTAAAGATGCAAAGTTTCTATAATAGATGATACTGATAGTTTTATAATATGGTCCAGGATTCCAAGTGTGAAAGTTTTTGCTTATAGCTATGGATCTGAATATTTTGTAATTTTCTTCTTTGGGGTTGGAAAACATGCTGAATGAAAAAGTGGCAGATTCAGCTGGGGACAGAGCTCCTAACAGGCATTTTTTCTTTATTTACTATGTTTGTATAAACTGGTATAATTTTAATATTCATCTTTTTCCTTATTCATAATTTCAAGGTATTATTTCAGAAGAAGATGTGATGACAGGGTATAGTGAGTGCAGTTGATGTTTTTGATGCTCTGCCCAGATGCCCTCTATTGGGCCAGTGTACCCATCTCCGAGATACTCCTGTCCAGTTCCCAGCTAATCATTTCTGTCAGAGAATTGCCCTCAGCTAAAAAGAAGCAGCATTACCCTGGATGTGATGCTTCCACCTCCGCATGGCCAGTGACTGATGGGTGGGGATGCACACAAGGGCTGGTCCCCTGTCTCAAGGTAGGGCCAACTATTTGGTGCAGTTCATGCTCCAGAACTCTTGAAAGAATTAGGCTGATGCCAGACTCAAGCTGAGATGGAAAACTTTGTTTAGCTTCTTCCTCTGCCTTTTCCTGTTTCCTTCCCTCCCTCTCTCCAGCGAGCATCCCTTCAATGAGTCACCGCATCCAAATCTTGTTAGGTTTTGCTTTTAGGGAACTCACACTAAGATATAAGGTATTAATGTGGTAGCACACAGTTGAGATGAGGATTAGTTGAGCGGATTGCTGTCAGAATTAGTCCTTTACTTGAGGATAAAGATAGCTCTGGGTCAGCAAGTCCTTTGCCTACTCACTTTTAACAGGCACCTTTGGGAAAACAAAGCTCAAAGAAGTTGTTGGAGCAACTCAGAGAAGGGAGCATTTAAACAGGACCAAAAACAACTTTCTAGAAAAATAAAATTAAAGGATTGTCAAAGCCCCAGGACTCTTCTTTCCTTGTGACATCTCTCATTTTTTGACCTCTTTGCTATTCTTATTTTTTTTTCTCAGTTACAGATAAAGAAAAGAAAGCAACATTCAAACTACTTCTTAGACTTACTATTTAAAAAGTTGGGTACTTTGTAAGTGCCTGTTATATTGAATTTATAGAGCACCTGTGACTTTATGGAAGTCACAATCTGTTCAAAAGCTTGGGTTCATAGACTTGAAATAATTAGAAAACTTTGAAAAATTGTACACAGTATCATCAAAGAGTTCATGCACAATAAAAATTTTAAAATGATACATTGTGATAATTAAAAGCAAATTTAGTACAATTTAGGATAACTATCTTACCCAATATGTCAATGTATTTATGTTTCAAATGTGCAAGCCAAATGAAAGCAGCTTTTGTAAATGGGAAGATAAATTGTCTTGTGGGCAATGTCTAAAGAAAACTGAAGCCACACTAATTATTGTGGTGTGGGACAAATTGTTTAACTTCTCTGGTCTTCATAAACAGTTCAAGCAAACAGGGTTATGCTACATCAGGGGTTCCTAGTCCCTGGGGCTCATAGAGGTGTTTCAGCAGGCTAGTCATTATCCAAGGGGGTAATAATCTCTCTTTCTGTGTCTTTCTTTTTTTATTTTTAAATAAATTTTTAAAAATCTGTTTTTAGAGACAGGGGTCTCACTATGTTGTACATGTTAGTATTGAACTCCTGGCCTCAAGCAATTCTCCTGCCTCAGCCTCCCAAAATCAGGCTGGGGACAATGGTGCACACCTGTAATCCCAGCACTTTCAGAGGCCGAAGCAGGTCGATGGCTTCAGTTCAGGAGTTTGAGACCAGCAGGGCAACATGATAAAACTGTCTCTACAAAAAATACAAAAAATTGGCCACACGTGGTGGCACATGCCTGTGGTCCCAGCTACTCAGGAGGCTAGTGTGAGAGGATAACCTGAGCCTGGGAAGTTGAGGCTGCAGTGAGTTGTGTTCACACCACCGCACTCCAGCCCGGGTGACAAAGTTAAACCCCACCAAAAAACAAAAACAAAAACAAAAAAACCTAAAATGGGTATCTATAACTTTGTTCCTTTTTAAAAAAGAGTTTGAAAACTTTTTAAATTTATACAACGTGTTAGGGGAAACTAATGTTTTTGCTCATGACTCAGTCGCTCAGCTGACCACCACTAGTGTGTTGATGATTTTAACTTTAATGAAGTTTAAATTGCTTTTATTTTTAGCCATCAGTTGTTTAACTTATACCCATAATGGTTGCTTTAGTACCATAATGTAAGATTATAAATTACTGAGGTGCATGGTAATTCTGCAAATTTGTCTCAAAGTGGTCTTTAATCACATCTGAGAGGTAATCATCTTCTGTTGATTTTTATAAACACCACCAAGATGTCTCTGGTACCTTAAAACATCTTTAAAAAGAGGAAATACAGTGGTAGTTTAATCTAACTTGACATTTTCTTTATAGTGAATAGAAATTCCTCACCCTGCTAATTAGTTATTTGAGAAATACTTAAAATTAGTAGTTTGAAACCTTTGGTAATCATTTCAAAACCATAGATGTACTTCAATAAATAATAAATTGCGTTTTTAGATTCAAAATCAAAGAATTCCAGCTATCATATTATGCAAACTTTTTGTCTTGTTCTGATGCTATATCATAGCCTCATTTCACTGTTTTAAAATAAATTAGAGCTTCAAAATAAACTCTTACTTTTTTTCTACACAATTAAACAGTGGACATCACTTGTTAAACAGAAAATAAAGAAAGAAAAAGAAAAGAAAGAAAGAAAGAAGAAAGAAAGAAAGAAAGAAAGAAACCACAAAAGTCAGGAAAGTAGCTGTATCTGAACTCATCTGTATTTCCCCAGGCAGACCTCTATGCTCATTAAGGAAGGACTGATGAAAGAGAGTCAAAGAATGTCTGTAGGGCCCTGAGGGGTGGGGGTGGTTCCTGTGGCCTTGTCACAGCTGTCTGCAACTTTGAAACTATTTTCATAACACTAAGATTTTTTTGCCATTTCACTGTGCTGACATTTGCGCTGATGGTATCAAAACAATGGTGGTTAATACTGCTAGTGCTCAAGCATAAATCAAAATAGTGGCTCCAAACTGTACTAGTAGACACTATATTCTACATGCCATGCACCGATAGGAAACAAAAACCATTTCATATAAAAATGTCCTTTACAAAGCAGCAAAATTGTTAATATTGTCTTTTTTCTCTTTCTTCTGATTCAGCCCTCATTTATTACATCTTAACTCTTGAATACATCTTTTAAAATATTCTATGTGATGACATAAGAAGTATGTATAAAATCCTTCTGCTGAATACTGAAATACATTAGTTGTCTCAAGGAAACGCCCTTGTGGGATTGAGCTGCTAGCTGAACTTGCTGCTTTAATCGTGGAACACTGTTTGAAGAAATTATTGACAAATTATGATTTTTCAGACTTAGATATTTGGCAATTTTTTTTCTGAATTCAAGAAAGGAACCTATCAGTTCAAGGAAAACAACCAGCATAAATTGCCAATGTGTAAAATTCTTTCTTTTTTTTTAAGATGGGGTTTCACCGTGATGGCCAAGCTGGCCTTGAACTCCTGACCTCAGGTGATCCACCCACCTCAGCCTCCCAAAGTGGTAGGATTACAGGCGTGAGCCACCGCGCCCGGCTGTAAATTTCAAACTTTCAAGCACAAATTCAAATTTTGGAAAATATGTATTCACCATCGAAGTTTGACAGATCTCCCATACTCGGGACTTTTGTGATGAGATCCATGGTGATATTAACAGATGGGATTTTTTCATGTTATATAATGAAGTCACATTCCACATTGCAACTAACCTTTCAAAAAACTGCCACTTGTTGAATTTGGACCAAATTTTCTTCATATACATGAACAAAAACAACATATAACAATATATTGACTGCAGTAGCAGATTTGAAGCTCCTCTTGTCTACTATTAAAATGGACAGAAAATAGATTGTGTACAGTGCCAGTTTCATTTTATTTTTTTATTTTGGAA